TTGGAAGTTATATTTCCAGCTAGAAATGGGCTTTATTTTCAGCTGAAATAGGAAGCCCACCCCTTGAAGAGCAGTTTCTTGCTAAAATCGAAGTTGGAAACCCAATTTACAAGTGGGAATTCACATCCTATTTTTATGTGGGCTGTGGAGAAAGATCCCATTTCATTTTGCTCACAAAACCACAAGGATGTTCTGTAGTCGGTATGGCATAAATTGTTGTTTGCATATTGTCACAGTTTGTGAAAGGCAAACTCTATAAACACATTGTGTGGCATATTAATTTTGCAAACTATGCAATGTATCGTGATAATATTGCAGTGCCAGAGCTGGCAGGTTGCTGAGGGTGAAACTTGCACAGGATAGATCTTTTTTGTTGGATAAGCATGCTTTGAATGTAGGAATTGCACCACTACTACTGGGATCGAAAGAGTGACCTAATACATACCAAGGAAGTGTTATGGACAGCTGTGGGCGTTGGAACTATGCCATCAATTTTGGATTGAATCGGAGGAGTGCATTACCAATCTTGGACTCTGTGTTGTGTTATCATAGAATTGGTATTTTGTTCTTTAATGCAAATATTTAACATAATCAGTTCACTTCTTAGCATCTTTTCGTCTTATCCATTCAAATATTAGTTATTCATGATTGCTGGACTTTTGTTCAGAGACCGAAGGAGTTTTGCTGTACTTCGGTGAATAAACCTCTCTAAGGGCTGTAGCAAGAGTAAAAGCCAGTGTGTGGGGATATAAAGCCGATAATAGTTGCATTCGAGATGAGTGGATAATATGATTACGAGTATGTATGGTTGAAGCAGAAACTGCTGGTCTAGCTGGTCCTGTGTAAATTATGCAAACAATTGTCTGAACAAAAGAAAACGCACACAGAAAAAAAATGAAGACCATCATTCTCTTTATCGTAGTGTTCGTTTTCTCTTGGTGCACTTGCTTAGCTTGCTTCATTTGCCATCACCCTCAACAAAGGTCTGCTTCGGGAAAAAGGCACTGAATTCAGTGGGTTCTAATGCAATTAGCGGGAGCGCTTGCAAGTTACGAATAAGTTCATTGATTATATCAGGTTCATTCAGTTCTAGCACGGTGCACAGGTGGGTACAGTGCAACGACCATTACTATTAGTACTAGAATTTCAGTCAATACAAGTCTTTATCTTTGTCCTTCAAGCCAAGGAATTCTACCGTCGGGTATGTGAAGTGTCCCCAAGACAGACATAATATTGAAAAAAAGTGGTTTCGTTCTATATGTTCGTCAACCGTGGCATATGCATGCACCTTCATCTAAAATTATATGAACGCATAAAACAGGCATGACCATTCGCACACGCTATGGAGTGAATAAAAATAATCACTCAATATTGTTCTCAGGACTAAAAATTATGATTACACAATGGTGATGTCAATAGGTTGATGAAACAATTGAGTTCACCCCTACTCATTTGCTAATGGCTCGCTCAATCTGAGACTCATTGAGATTGTAATCAGCAAGGCATACACAGACTCATCAAAATCCTGACCAATCACTCACCAGAATCCTACTCAGCCAAACTAACTCGGGCTCAAGCTCTCAAAAATTTTACTGACCCACTTGGACTCGCAGCCTAATTTCAGCTTGAATGAGTGACGCATGAGTAGTTTTGCCAACCTATGATCACTATTGGTCGATCTGTACATTCATGCTACAAAAAGAGTTGAATAAAGGCAAAGCTTGCTAGTTTTGTAGTGTTTTAATGTTGTTCTCTAATAAACAGTTTCTCAATGGGCTATTATATTGAAACTGTTGGCATTTGCCGGCAATTATCAGGACATGCTGTTTCAAATGAACAACCTGAGAACTTGAGCTCATTTCCCATGTACAGTCGACTCTCGTTAATTCAAACTCGAAGAGACCTCTGAAATTTGTTTGAATTATCAATAAGTTTGAATTACCAGATAGATGACTCTGGGTGATGTGACACCACACATTATGATTTGGCATTGATTTTTATCACATTTAAAAAATATTTTTGGTGTTTTAAGCCCTAACTGCATGCAGTGAACAGAAAGCAGAGGTGTAAAGTCAACAAGTTTATTGGCCATTTACTGCTGATCATTCCTTTCAAAGAAATTGTGACTTGCCAACTCCTTCTTCAATTGCTATAGCTATGTGCCTTCAGCACAAAGCTCTCTATACCAGTTGAGAAGCATCATGGTTTACCATGCATGTGCTTCGTTTCAAACATTTGTTTACTTGCAAAGCCTTTTTCGTTGATTGATTTGTGGGGTTTAACGTCCCAAAACCACCATTTGATTATGAGAGACGCCGTAGTGGAAGGCTTCGGAAATTTTGACCACCTGGGGTTCTTTAACGTGCACGCAATTCTGAGTACACGGGCCTCCAACATTTCCGCCTCCATCGGAAATGCAGCCGCCGCAGCCGGGAATCGAACCCGCGACCTGCGGGTCAGCAGCCGAGTACCTTAGCCACTAGACCACCGCGGCGGGGCTCCTTTTTTGTTGAAGGCCTCAGGTGCTTATTTTTTTATTTTTAGACTATTACAGTCGAATCTCAATAATTCGAACACACTTAATTCGAACTTCCGGTTAATTCGAACTCATGATAGGGTCCCATCAAAGCTATGTGTATTCTAATGGGCGAAAATGCCCGGTAATTCGAATACGCAAGCACTTGTGACGGTTAATTCGAACATACCGGGCTCTGAAAATGCTCTCAGCACCCCGCCCAATCTCGGGGCGGCACCTGCGACACCTCAACGCTGCGCACAAAAGAAATGAAAACTAAAGAAAAGGCTGCGTTGAAACGTTTGTTCTCTCTCAAATGCTGATCTGTGACACGCCTGTGTCACGCTTCTCCCTTTTTCGTCCCTGCCACGTGAAGACCCTTCTCCTTCGAACGTGCAAAAAAAAAAGGAGGAAAAAAAAAAAGCTGTCGCTGGGTTGAATGAATGTGTGGTTTAAGGAAAGGAAAAAGGCACTATCTTCTGCAGCCTTTGCCCCTTGCGGCAGCACGGCTCTGTGCCTTGAGGGGGGGGGTCTAAAACAAAAAAAAAACTGCCGTGGAGTGTTGGTTTTCTCTCAAATGCCGATCTGCTTCTCTCCGTGTGGAGACGCTCCCCGTTTCTTGTCACGTGCTGGCCATGCTGCGGCTGCGTAGCGGAGAGACTCCGCAGTCGTTGTCGTCGTCTTTGGAAAGTGTTGGCACAGGGCATTTCCGCGCTCAACTTCTCTTGCCAGGAGAATACTGAAGCCGAAGTAGAAATGCTGCGCAAGCTGCGTGCAAAATTGATTGACTTGCTGCAAGACAAACGTGTGCAAATGCGCATCACTGAATACTTCAAATAATAACAGACGTCCTGTGATTTGTTAATAAATGCTAGTCTTCTGAAACTTCTCCTTCGTGTGTTAGCTCAATGCACATGCGCCGCTACATGGAAAGCCCTCGGTTTATTTAGCTTTCAATAATTCAAACTTCTTTTAATTCAAACAAATTTTCGGGCCCCTTCGAGTTTGAATTATAGAGATTCGACTATAGGATTATTTAAGCACGTAATTTTTTAAATAGTAGTAGGAAAGCAGCAGATATTTTCTGGCATGGAAGTGTAAAAAGTATGAATTGACTGAATGATGGAGTTTGAATTAAGATGCTTTTAAATACACTGAAAGAATAGAGGGCCAACAAAAAAAAATTGAATTTTGTTTGAATTAACCCAAGGTATGAATTATCACAGTTTGAATTATCGTGAATCGACTGTAGTCTGAAAATAGCCTGGCTTATAGTTGTGGTAATTTTTAGATCTAATATGGCAGAATTCACGCTGATAGTTATTTTGTGCCAGTTAAGGCTGTGTACCTGCATGCGTCGCCTGCCTCTTAGGTGCAACACTAGACCAGGAACACTGCACCATATGGCGCTCCGGGCATATAGCAGAAAATGGTAACAATATTACGGACAGTGCAGCTCGAGCTATTACTCACCAAGCGACTGTCCCTTGTCCAGATACCCACCTGCTACTCCAGGCTCTCCACACACCTCGACATATCTTAGAACAGCAGCGGTGACAACGACGGCGATACTCCTCACTTCATTTTCAGCTCAGTGTAAAAGAAGCACATATTAAGCGCAAATACTACATATCCGCACCTGCGTATAAAACATGCGATACACCCAACAGCATACGCTGGTTCTTACCCGTGGTGTGGAGAACAGCCAACACTTGCTCACATTGCGTGGGAATGTGAGTTAAGGCCAGCCAAAATTAATACGCCTCAGATTCCAGCGAAAACATTCATGATGGAGCAGTGGGAGACCTTGCTCGCCGGCGTCTCTCATAATCATATAGTGGTTTTGGGACGTTAAACCCCACATATCAATCAACCTTGCTCGCCAGCGCAGAAAACAAGGCCCAAGTGGCGCTCTTGGACCAAACCTGGACTGAGGAGCCCTGGACTAGGGGCTCACCTACCTGCTTTTAACCCTTATTTAATTTTTTTCTTTGTAATAGATGTTTTCTCATTTTATTTCTTGTTTAAAAGGTGCGCAATTACGGCTACCAAGTGTAGCTCAGTCGCTAATATTTCATGAACAGGTCATGAATGTGTGTATGTTATTTGGTTTGTGGGAGTGCTGACACCCTCTGCAAGACAGCTTTCTAAGCTGGTTGCACACTTGTTTCACTGACAAATAAAATGTGAGCTCTTGGCTTGGGCAGCTGAAGTTATACTGCTTGTATAGAATGAGTTTACGTGGCTATTATCAGAAGAGGGCTGAGAATGCTGATGTATGTTCAAGTGACATCACTGGCAAGATGGAGAGTCACTCATAGGAAATAGCCATGAACACAAGTGGTACTCTCAAGTTGTGCCTCCTGCTTGGTCCACAAGGCTTGTCATGTCGCAAAAGAAAGGAGACCGCACTCGTAACATTAGAAATAATGAAGTGCACGAGCAGGCAAATGATGCCACAGCTCACTATTTTGTTTACTTGCAGGTTGATCTGTACTTCAAGGAAATCATGGTGGATGTCATGCAGCACTTGACCAGCAATGAGTGGCGTGTGCGGGAATCCAGGTGGGGTGTTCCTGCTGACCATGATTATGGATAGGTAGAAGCACCTGCCGACTGTTTTTTATATATTCATGCTTCATCATGCTCTCTGGGGTGCAATCTTGTACACACTCCATGATAGAATGTTCTATTGTACTGCGTGAGACTGCTCAAGGCCTGCGCATGTGGACAGGGCCTGAAAGAGCCAGTGCTGTCAATTATTTTGTCATCTGTTGAAATGATGACGACTTGTGGTCAAAGAACGGGGAGGTGTCTTTACTCAGCAAGGGCTTGCTCCAAATCCTAACTTCGTTTGTTTTCCTCCTCTCGTCTCTCATGCCGCTCTTCCCAAGTCCATGTTCGAATTCTTTATCCATGCAATAGCTTTGATAAGTGCAGAAAATAGGGTGTTTGCCTTGGTGTCGGCATGAGAATTTTCAATTGTGAGGGAAAAGTGTCTTTTTTTTGTTTGCATTACTGAAAAATATAGATGCAAATAAATCGAGTAATACCGTATTTACTCGAAAAATGCTCGCACTCGCATAATTCTCGCACCCCCCACATCGTCCGACAAAAATATGATTCTTTTTTTCCTCGAGTAATTATCGCACCCCCAAAAAACTGCCGCAATAATGTCGTCTGCTCATTCAAACCACTGATGATGATAGCACGCACCATCTGGTGCCATCTCTTGTGCATCAAGCACGGAGATTCAATTCAATCTTAGCCAAAGTGACAAGCTCGCGTTGCGGCATGTTTTGTATGTTGTGTCGGTAATCTTGTCACATTATGGGGCGATACCGAAGCTACACAGCTAATTTCAAGCTGAAAGTGATAGATCATGCACTAAACAACGGCAACAGGGCCGCCGGTAGGCCCTTCGGAGTCTGCGAGTTTTGTGTTCGCTACTGGTGACAGCAGCTGAAAGCCACCAAGACGCGTTCGGCCTTCCGTGCACCTAAAACTGGGATTGATGGTAAACTTTATTTCTTCTGCAGGAATCTGCAGACGATTTTCTTAAATAGCCATTAACCCAATACTGACGTCCTACGCTTACCTTTTGAGGGTTTCTGTTGAGCAAAAAACACTAGTGCTACACCCGCAACGCCCACAAGCTTTGCGTTTCGTATTCTAATTCTCGACTATTTTCTTGCACTTTTTGTGTCTCAAATAAAACTTGTTTTGTGTTGAAGCTGTGTTTTTATTGTTGGGGCAAGTTTTAATTAGTGCTTCTCAAAGCTTGCTGTTAGTTGCTGATGTGAGAATCCTGATTTGCGGCCACCTTCCCCGTAAGTTTTCCCCGCGTAATTCTCGCACCGCTCAACTTTGCATCAGTTTCTCGTCAAAAAAAAGTGCGAGGATTATGCGAGTAAATAGGCTAAGTATAGTTGAACCCCTTTATAATAGGCATGCTCTGGGCAGCAATTCTTGTCTCTTATATTAGATGTCTCTTCTACTCATTTCTCTCTTATATCAGTGTCTCTTATAAAGTGGTTTGCCTGAATTTCCAGGCTCGAGTGAAAATTGAACCCTGGCATTTTGTGTGGCAGGCAGGTGTTCTACTACACAGCTACGTATCTGCTAGAAAATGTGGTTACACTCACTTCCTTTGCTTGGAAATCACTGAAAATAACGTTCATGCTTTACAAACACATGCGTACTGTATACAGGCTTCACAATACAGCATGTAATATTGCAGTAATAATGCATGGTACAAGCATACATTGCGACTGGGCATCAGAACGTATGTGTAGGCAAGTGTGGGCGCAGGTTAGTCAGACGGGCACAGGAAACACCCATAGACGAAGAGACACCTCTTTATATACATATCGGCACAAACACGGGACTACACTACACAACATATATACATGCACATACAAGTAACTAACTATGTTTCACACTCATACCACACCAGTTAATTTCGGTGTGGAGTTGTTGAAGAGCGAAACTCCGAGCTCTCGTCCGGCGTACCCCGAACAAGGGGCGGGTTGCAATGGTGCGTGGAACCAAGTCGGCGGCGCATGCCGTCTGGTCGTAGTCTCAGCGGGCCGGAAGAGGGCCGCGTGGACTTGGCGTCAGGATGGGGGTGAGTTGCCTCCTCTGAGTCAGGACTGGTGCGTGGCCCGACTCAGCTGATGCAGGCTAGGAAGAAGCTCAGTGCAGCAGTGTCGGCGCCTGGCACAACACCACGGACGTCAACAGGAACAGTGACACAAAGGGTAGCTTGAACTGTACCAGCTAAGAATGGAACCTTGGACAGCAACTGGCCAGCACCAGGGACAACGCCAGCACTCGCCAGGAACGTCGCTGGGGAACCGCAGCCAGGGACAGGTGGGGCGATGTGGAGATGCCCAGCCTAGTAGTCCATGGGATTGTGGAAGCCAGGATGGGCCCCGGACTAGCAGCGTCTGATCGAGACGTCCAGACGGGGCTCGCTGCTTGACCGCCCGATGCGTTTCTCTTCCGCTCGCCAAAAGATTGTGGGGGTGTTGACACCCTCTGCAAAGTTGTTTGCGCAGCGTGGCGCATGTGTCTCGCCCAAAAGCCATATTTCGGGGGGACAACCACCGGACGATAGATGGCATTGTGTTCGCGGTGAGTACTACTATCATCATCATGGTTGGTAGAGTTGTAGCGCCGGTGGTGACCCCTGGCGGAAAGCAAGCCTTGGTGGCGGGCGAGAGTTGAGCAAGTCTCTTCTGCGCGTGGCGGTTGCCGCGAACGGTTGTCTCTAGCGTGGGCCCCGGTGCTCGGCACCACGGGTCCGCGCCAGGGACCCTCGTGGTAAGACAAGTGTTGGCGAACCCGCCTTGTCGTGTTATTATGCTTGTCATATTATTGTGTGTTTGTTGTGTTATTGTGTTTGTCATGTTATTGTGTGTTTATCGTGTTATTGTGTTTGTCATGGAGTGTATGGTCATATTGTGTTTGTCATGGAGTGTATGGTCATATTGTGTACAGATGTCCTAGTGTGTTGCTAACGATTGATGTATTGATTCAGCGGGCGATATCATTGTTGTAAATTAGTTAAATAAATGTGTGTATGTTGTTTGGTTGGTACTGACCATGTCTACAGGGCGTGGTGGCGTGTCGCCCGCCAATTCGAGACCCCACACTGCCGGCCCAACTTGGAGCCCTTGGAGCGTCAGACGACTGTTTTCGCGGTTTGGTACATGCTTTTGTTAGAGCCGGGGTAGAGTAGGCCTAGAGGGACTTCTCGTTGCTAGCGTCGGCAGTGTGCTTCGTTGGAGAAGCAAGGAGATTGGTTTTGTGATGTGTTTGAACTTGTCGGCAGGTCGAGTTTTTATTTTTTTCTGCTCGCAAGTTTTTTTTTTTAGTTAGTTGTTTAAGAACATTGTTCAGATGTGACGAGAGCCATGCGGTCTGCATCCTGGGGATGAGCAAGGCTTAAAGCACGTGGATTGTAGGCCAGGCCCGAAGGGAGTGAGTACGGAAGCCTCGTGGGTGGTCGGATTTTTCTATAAATAGCTTCTTCTATCTCCTTGGGTTCAGGGAGGCGGGCGTCGTTGCTGTGTGGTATTGCGGCTCGACGCCGAGGCGTCGTAACACCGTCCGGGGCGTCGAAATTGCCCCGCCACAATGATCTAGTGGCTAAGGTACTCGGCTGCTGGCCCGCAGGTCGCGGGTTCAAATCCCAGCTGCGGCTGCATCTCCGATGGAGGCGGAAATGTTGTAGGCCCGTGTGCTCAGATTTGGCTGCACGTTAAAGAACCCCAGGTGGTCGAAATTTCCAGAGCCCTTCACTATGGCGTCTCTCATAATCATATAGTTGTTTTGGGACATTAAACCCCACATATCGATCGATCGGGGCGTCGTAACACCGTCCGGACCTGTGGACGCCGATCGCTCGATAAGCTGCTGTGTGCGGCGAGCGATAGGACCACCATACAGAGTGGATGTCTCCTCGCCGTTGCCCCTTTAATGCCTAGGCTGGGTGCTGCGTGGATGCCGGTTGTTGCCGAGTGACTCATTAGGCCTAATGCTCTGCGCAGCCGCCTGTCGCACGCGGCACAACCAGGAAGATCGTGGCGTGAAGGTGTTGCACCCTGCTTCCCTCATTTTTTTTTTAATCTTGCAATGCACGAGTTATGAAAAAGTTTTGTTTTGTTTTTTTTCAATTTTTGAGCTGGACATCTCAGCCGCTGCCAATGTATTACCTAGCAGTACTGACCATCATACCACGTGGGCGAAAAGCCCGAAGCTCCCTTCTCTAGGCCCTCCTTTATTGTTTCTGTCGAGTGTTTTAGAATGTGTCAGCGGGAGTGTTGTAATCCACAGCTGGCTGTCTCCTGTACATTGTCAGCGCCGCTAGCCAGAAATGCGGTCGTAAGGTCGGGGGATAGAGATGCTTGCGACCTGAGCAACTGCCTGCAGTTCAGCGCCCTCGTGAGTGCTGGTCGCAACTCGACGTGTCGGCACTGGTGACGGTTCGTCGCGCCGATGGTTGCGGGACCGGTACTGAGGTGATGTCGAGCCTGACAGTGCAGCAGTGTCAAGCGGCAGCGGTGTCGTGGTGCATGGACATTATAAAGGGACTTGTGTTGTGATTTTTTTTGTTAGAGCTTGTTGTAGCTGACTTCTTTGTTTTCGGAATATGGTTTGAATTAAGGTTGGGGAGATGTGGGAGTACTAACACCCCTCGTAAGGTTGTTTGCGCTGCGTGGCACTCTTGTCTCGCCCAAAAGCCTTATTTCGGAGGTGACAGCCACCGGGCGATAGATGGCATTGTGTTCGTGGTGAGCACCACTATCATCATCATGGTTGGCAGAGTGGTAGCACCGGGGGTGACCCCTGGTGGAAAGCAAGCCTTGGTGGCGGGCGAGAGTTGAGCGAGTTTCTTCTGCGTGTGGCGGTTGCCGCGAATGGTTGTCTCTAGCTTGGGTCCTCGGTGCTCGGCCCTGCGGGTACGCGCCGGGGCCCTCATGGTAAGTCAAGAGTTGGCAACGATGCCTTGTCGTGTTATTGTGTTTGTCATGTTATTGTGTGTTTGTCGTGTTTTGCATTTGTCATGTTATTGTGTGTTTGTTGTGTAATTGTGTTTGTCATAGAGTGTGTATGGTCATATTGTGTACGGATGTCCTGGTGTGTTGATAACGATTGATGTATCGATTCGGTGGACAATATCGTTGTTCAAAAGTAGTTAAATAAATGTATATGTTGTTGTTTGGTCTACTTCACCCAATCATCATTAATCACCATCACGGCGATAACTGCGCACTTCAAATCGGTCCCGCACACTGCACACGAATGCTCATCGACGACAACTCGCACATCTCAAGTCAATGTTTTCACTACAATGTGATTATCATGACGACTTCAGGGTTTAAAGCCAGCCAACCAATGCAAAAGGCACACACGTGTTTCCTATCACGTAGCGAATGCATGGCAAGTAGAAAAGTATCTCACAAGCATAATTTTCCGTGGTTTAAAGTATGCTACCTATTACACAAAATGCAGCCATATATGGAAGTTTTACTGACATAAGCCCCTTTTAACTTTATAGGTTACATTGTACAGGGCTGGAAGTGCTGCGCCATTTGGGCCATTCTGCAGCAATTTGACATACTGCGGCAGACTGATCAAAACAACGGTATCCATGATAATTGTCGATTGGAAGAGTAAACCGCTGAATCTAGCCGACTATTATCATCGAACAAGCAATGGCGGCATAAAAGACCCGGCCGCACACATATCGAGTGTAGTTCGATCATGTTGTGATCCGGTTCATTCATGGGGTTTGCTACTTGTCTACTCACCGTTATCGCCATGGCTTTCCCACAAAAGATGTGGCGTTAGCACGAGTAACTGCGAAAGATCTAGTGATGCAGTGAAACCTCGATAGTTGGTAGCAGCCGAATACGTGGCATGATCGTGCACTAAATGGCAGTGTGCATTTACAAGTACCAACGTGCATCTCTTGACGTGCGCTATCGCCACCAATAAAGAAATACAGCACCACTGCAGATGTTGCCCAAAGTGTCCTCCAGAAAGACTTCCTTTATGCTAAAGTGGTGCAAAGATACTGGGCTGGCACTGTCGTACGATTGTTTCATTGCACGCAGTGGCGACGCCTTGGAGCATTTCGAAACTGTTGAAGGGTCCAGAATACGCAGCAAATAAAATGGCGACAGAATGAACACTATCAGCTTTCTGCGATGCGTATTGCCGCTCCTGTACTGCGATTTGATACTAAGCGACAACTGACAGTTTCATTAAAACATCCAAGTTGATGCCATCGTTTCAACTCGAAGAGCGAGGGTCAGGGCACAAAACCTTGCCTCTATTCGAGCTATTAATGAGCAAGTGATGATTTTGAGTACTTCATTGAAACATGGAGCAGGTGCGTGGTCTTTGATAATCTCCTGGTTAGTTGCATGCAGCATGGCACCTATATGCGGCCCATGCCGTCACTTCCTGGCAGCTCATCGTATTGTGTGCGCGGGCTTGCTGTGTGAATTGCTCGTCCCCACTTTGCGCCAGACCGAGCGGAGATGAGCCAACTAGTGTGTTTAATTAGTGTAGGGATAACGAAGTTCGGCCAAGCGAAGTGCAGGGCGATAATCTGTACTCCTCCGTTTCTCATATCAGATGCAAGACAACAGAGGCTAGCAATACTCCTTGCAGTAGATGCGTTCATGTAAAAAAATATTCCTATGTTTTTTCCACCAAGAATATATTCTTTTTTTTTTTTTCGTTTCAGGCTGAGTAATAAATCAGCATGTTTTGTATCACACACGCACACACACAGACGCGTAGACGCGCTTTGGGGTGGTAAATTTGGTAAGCTCGTTAGTGCTGAAGGTTTAGTTTATGAAAAATCATTCGAATTTTTTTTCTTAGTGAGAAATAGTTTTGATTGATGATGATGCTTGATCCTAGAAAGCTGCCCCAAAACTAACTCGCATTGCTTAAATACAAACCTTTTGGTGCTCCGAATCTGCTCCAAAACTCCCCTTTGACAGCACCAAAGCTGCTCGAAAACAGCGTTAATACCACTTTCTAAGCTGCTCCAAAATTCTGAAGCACGCTTCTATCCTTGCATTGTATTAATCCACTTCTCAACTAACACCATACGATAAAAAATTCAAAGCATATCCACGGAGTGAATATGATGAGTTGGGTGAATTTGTCCGTCTGTCTGTGTGTTCATCAATTGCGTTTGTCCGTCCGTCCGTGCATCAGTTTGTCTGCCCGTCTATCCGTCCGCCCGTCCGTCTGTGCTTCAGTCTATCTGTGCATTCGTTTTTAGGAATCAAGGCTAGCCCGCCGGCTTTGCGCGGACTTTGCCGCCTCTTTCTGCTTTCTCATGTCCTGACATGACTCTCCTCTCCTCCGCGGTCTTCCGTGCTGGGAGAGCGAGGAGGGACGCTTAACCCCTCTCACCCGGTAGTGGATGTCGACTCTTGCGCCGCGTGGAAAGTCTCCCGAAAGGTTTCACGCGCGTGCGTCTGGAGTGAGAGAGACCTCTCCGGGGACGACATGGGGGTAGGCACGCTTTTCTTTTCTGTCTGTCGGCTCCCTTTGTTTAGAGCTTGTTCGGACACCGCCAATAGTGCTTTGGGCCTGCGGCAAACGCTTACCTTATGTCGCCCCCCCCCCCCCCCCCTTCCGAGCGCTAGGCTGAAGTGTGGTGCAGTGTCCTTGTGTGTGGCCAAGCTACGCCGACCCGTATCTCTCCGAAGCCAGCGCGAGTGCCTTTGCCCTTGCTGGAGCAACCGGGCCTTGGTCCCGGTGTCTCTGTGAATCACTTTTACCACGGCACCCTGTGTAGTACTTCTCGCCTGTGGCGTGGATAAGCCCATTTGCTTTCCCGCTGGGCCTTTGCAACGGGCTGTACTGCTTTTTGGTGTTGCCGCAGGCAATAAAGTGTTGTGACATTGAGCAGTATCGTGTTTTCGCCACGGCGATGGTCAACGCGTGCCCTGTGGCTCCCTAAGACCGCACCCACGCTAGTGGCCGTAATCCTTCGAGATACGTGTCACTACACGTTCATCTGTCTGTCTGTTTGTCTATCTGTTCATCTGTCTGATGCTGCCGGTTATGGCTGTCGTAGGACAGGGTTAAGCTAAAAGAAGCTTCGCCTCTAAAAAGTGTGCACTAAATGGTTAAACTACGTACTAGGGACAGAATATTGCTATTGTGTTCAATCTTTAAAAGCGAAGCTTAAGGGTACACCAATTTTGTTGGTGTAATAGTGTACCAGTAACGTCCGTGATTAACATGAACGTTGGTTGTGAGGATGAAGATGTTTGATCAAGTGTCAAGGTGAATGCATCCACTGCACTCACATTAAATATTGCTATAGCTACAAAACGGCCATAGATGTTGGCCAAGCTTTCTTCTATCAGTGTACAGTGACCATTCAACTTCTTACGCAAAAACACATTTAACTTTAGTGTTATACTGTTTTCCATCATGGAGGGATCAACCATGTTTTTCTTTTTATGTTGAAGAGACCAGCAACTAGCCATCCTGGTGGAAATGAAAAGAGTGTGAATTTTAATGACCAATTCAAGCATCTTTTTTCATCATCTGGATAGGATTTATATTTTTAAAAGGTGAAAAACTGGCATTTTATGCACTTAATGGAAGAGCCTAGAAGCTGGAATATAGACTTATTCGATTTCCTCTACATACTGTGATGCTTTCATGCATGCTATAATTAGTGCTCAAAATAAGAGTAGTCTTACCATTAATCATTCCCGTTACATTCTGTGCTGCTTACAAGGTAAAAGCAGTTGCACGCTGGTAGTGGCGCTGCTTTGTTGCACTGAGTCAAGCATGTTGAGCCACGGTATATGCATCTGCAGTGCATGCAGGCGTCACAAACTGTTCTTGTGCCCAGTTCGTACCATTTCCTGGAAGTTGTTCGTTGTAGATATATGACCAAAAATATATTTCAAAGGCATAAATATATGTGCTTCTTTGGAAAGGGAAACAACAACAAAAAGAGAATACATCGACATACATACATGGTTCCTGCCCTGCAACACTCAAGTTACCTGTGATGTATCACTGCTTTGCATAGGCCTTCATGTTGAAGAAAGGGTCACTCAATCAATGACCGACCGCAAGGGCACAAGAGCAACCTCAAGACCAAAACTGGCAGCAGTCTGGCAATGCATAGTGCTGATTGTGGCTGTACTCCCAATTTTTCACAGACAAGCATCCTGCGCAGACATCCAGATGGAGATGGATAATCGCGAGAAATCTACAAAGTGTGGACGATTCATTCCCATTCCATTAATCAATCATACTAACAATGTGATCAATAATCTCCACATTAGAAATTTGCAAATTTGTGGACTAGTTGAGACAAACACGTAGTGCTTGCTCTCCTATGCCCCTTTCTAAAGAATTGTTTATATTTGCACCTACGTAATTAAATCCCATGTTGTTAGCCAGTACCAATTCTTGCCTGTCTTCCTTGTATTTTTGGCCCGCATTGTTTACATTCATGAAGCTGTGCCAAGTAGCTCAAGTTCAAACCTTATTGTTTTCAATTACTTGTTTTCTTTCTTGTTTTTTTTTTGCTAATTAAAAAAATTCTTTGTAGAGATTTCTCCTCTTGAGGCTGTATTAATTCTCTTTTGGCATGAATTAGGATCAAAATGGGTGAGTATCTGGGGAAGATTGTCGCATGCAGGTGAAAATGGCCAATCTTTTCATGTGGTGTGCAGCTGCCTGGCCTTGTCTGATCTGTTGAGTGGCCGCAACCTGGACAACGTGCTCGACCATGTGCCTGATCTCTGGGAGAGCCTGTTTCGTGTGCAGGACGACATCAAGGCAAGCAACACCAGCAGCCCACTCGAAGCTTCGTGTATACAGTAAAATCTCGGTATAATGAACTTTAGGGGATCGCGGTAATTCGTTCATTGTTTTGAAAGGTCGTTATAGTGAAAGCCCCGGAATTAACCATAACTACTTATTTTTCACCGACTAAAACGTCTTACCTTTACAACTGTAGTTCCTTGAACTCGTTTTTCACGATAAAAAACAAATGCACAAGTGAACACCAAAATATGCACGTTTCCTTAAAGAAGTCTGTTTTTTTTTTCCAACACGTGCAGCACATACTTTGCTGTGCAAGGCCTCCAGCTCATCCATATTTTCCACTTTCTCCTTAGCGAAAACTGCTTCCCATTCTTTGTCGCAAGCAGAGATGTACTCATTGTAGTAGCACCGCAACGCGAACACTGACTTGCTTTAGAGACACGATAAGTAATCACCGAAAAGATGAACATGACTGACAAGGCCTCCTCAGAGAACACCTATACCCCTTTGGCCTCTTAGATCACATGTAGAAGTGACAAAGATAACTAAAACCCGACGCGTCGCAGCTGTCATTGCCTCTTCCGATGAAAAGACAGAGCTAAAGAAAGAAAATTCCTCGTGTTTCATTTTCTGCTCCCTCACTGTCTTAGGTTTTCCACGCCCAGGCTTTCTGCTCCGCAACTCCTCCTCTGTCTGTCTGACCTTCCCTCCTGTGTTGCCTTCGCCTCTGCACTAGTAAACCTGCAGCGTCAGCGTTTCGACAAAAAGATCGAAAAAAATTTGCCTTTTTTTTTTTCCTCCGCACCGTCGCGCATTTTCCGAGAAGCTAAGCGTTCGTTTGCTTTGTCGTCTGCTTGGGTACCGCTTAGGTAAACGGGCGACTCCATCGTCAACTCCTGCACTTTAAGCTGGACAATGGGGTTCTCTACCGCCACGTCTACCAGCCTGACGGTCAGCGCTGGGTTCCTGTACTGCCACGCTCTCTTCGACTTCAGGTGCTCGAAGCCTTCCACGACGACTTGACTGCTGGCCATCTTGGTTTTAAAAAAACTCTTGACCGCATTCGATGTCGTTATTACTGGCCTGGCCTTTCTTCTAGTGTAGCGCGGTACGTCGGTTCCTGCTACCTATGCTAGCGTCGTAAACTCCCCACGTCTGCACCTGCTGGGCCTCTACAGCCATTTCCGTGCCCTTCAATGCCGTTCGAGGTTGTAGGTGTTGACCTTTACGGGCCTCTCCCCGTCACACCTGCTGGCAAACGATGGATAGTGACCGCCGTGGACCACCTGACGCGCTACGCTGAGACTTCCTCTGTTATTACAGGCTCAGCTGTGGAAGTTGCAGACTTTATTCTTCATGCCATAATCCTGCGTCATGGGGCTCCTCGTGTACTGCTTAGTGACCGCGGCAAAGTGTTCCAGTCACAAATTGTAAATGAAGTACTGTGCGCTTCTGGGACTACTCACAAGACAGCTTCAAGCTACCACCCTCAGACAAATGGTCTCACGGAAAGATTTCACCGAACCCTTGCTGACATGATAGCCGTTTACAGTCCAACCCGACCACAAAAACTGGAATACTCTTTTACCATTCCTTACATTCGCTTATAACACCACTGTTCAGTGAACAACTTGCTACTCACCGTTTTACCTTGTGTACGGACGTACCCCGACTACCTTTCTCGACGTCTCCTTCTTTAACAGCCTTGGGAATTAATGTCAGTCTTCTAGCGAAGAATACATTTCCCGCCTGGCCCACTCTCGCCATCAGACACGCATCAATACTGAAGCGAGACAGCACGAGCGGAAGATCATCTATGACGCACCCCACCACGTTGTGTCTTTCCAACCTGGTGACGAAGTGCTGCTTTTGACCCCTATTCACACTCCTGGTCTCTACGACAAATTCCAATCACGCTTCATTGGGCCATACATTGTTTTAGGACAGACTTCGCTGGTCAATTATCGTGTGACACCACTCGTCGCCCCAACAGACCGCCGCTACCGCAGCACAGAGATTATCCACGTTTGTTGCATGAAACCTTTCACGCGACGTTCCCCGTCACATTGACTTACGGCGGCCAGGGTGTCCGCTTCCAAGTGGGGGGAATGAGTGTGGGCATTTGTTACTTACATCGTCCTCATCCTTGCATGATCACAATCACTATCATCCGCTTGTCTCTTTGTCCTCATTGCCACTCTGGGTCATCGTCTCTGTACTGGCTCTGCCCGTTCGTTTTGCGAGGTCTTTCCTCAAATAAACGCTGACGCAGCCAAGACTACCAAAACTTCATAGTATGACTATGTCTGCCGCATTGGCCTCGCCATACCACTGGCCACTACACCTACTCGTCATTATGTTTACCATCAGTTATATCCGGCCTCTATCATTCCTATACTAATGCAGCCGTTAGCCTACGCCTCGCCACCGGCTGCTCGTTGGCAGTGGCGCAACACACGGCGGGTCCACTGCCAGCGCTGTGGAGGGATCGGCCATGTTGGCCGCCAGTGCTCCACGGCTAGGCAAAATGTGCCGTCCATGTGTTTCAACTGCGGTTAACCGGGACACTTGCGGGTCGAATGCCCAGACAACCGGATTCTGGGAAACCGCCGTTGGTAGATGTTGTGCCGGCGGGCATCTACGACTGCGCGCTCCAGGTTGCGACTGCTGCTGGCCGAAAAGAACACATGCTCGATATTCGCATTAGAGCGACGACGTTTCAGGCTCTCTTAGACACTGGGTCCAGCATAAGTCTTCTAGGACAACAGGCGATGGTGACCGCCAAAGCCACAGGGGCCAGCCATAAAAGAGAGATACGAGTACTCCGCTTAGCTGCAGGCTGGTTCTCTACCTCGCTCTCATGCAAGATACACTGGGTAGCAGGCTCTTGCCAGCAGCGTTTTTTGTGTGTGCCCGACCTTTGTTGCGACATAGCACTCGGGAGAGGCTTTCTGTCTGTGACCAAAATATCATTTCATGTTCCACTTGGAGGTTGGACAATCGGTACTGAACCGCAGTGCATGGTGCCTTTCATCAAGGGAGAGCGCCGGGTTAAAGGAGGGCTAGACAGCGAAGAGACCTGTCACCTGCAAGTAATATTCGCTGGGCCATCTGACCTTGCTGCCAACTCAGAAATCTCCACCGCCAGTAACCCCACACATCTCACAGCTCAGGACAACGTAGACAAAAGTCTAGCACAAGTGCTTGAGACCTGCTACGGTGGTCTAGTGTATAAGGTACTCGGCTGCTAGCCTGCAGGTCGTGGGATCGAATCCCAGCTGGGGCGGCTGCATTTTTGATGGAGGCAAAAATGCTGTGGGCCCGTGTGCTCAGATTTTGGTGCACGTTAAACAACCCCAGGTGGTCGAAATTTCCGGAGTTTTTCACTACGGCGTCACTCATAATCATATGGTGGTTTGGGGATGTTAAACCCCACGTATCAATCAATCAGCACATGTGCTTGGGTACTTCAGCCCAATTATTACTGCTACTCCAGGTTGCACTACACTTTCTGAGCACTGCATTGACACTGGGGATAGCCAACCTGTACGTTGCAAAGTTCGCCCTGTCAACGCTAAAAAAAAAGGCCATCATGGACAGCTGCATTGCTGCTCCGGAGAAAGAACTCATATGCTCAAGCACCAGCGAGTGGACTAGTTCTCCTCTTCTTGTTGAAAAGAAGTTCAGTGGATTCCGCCTTGCAGTCAATTATCGGCCACTGAATAGCCATACAAGTGTGCCTGCCTATCCCATGCCCAGGACTGACTGGCTCTTGGCACATTTGGAATGGTTTTCAAGTTTTGACCTTTCGCAATGGTTTTTCCAGATCCCAGTGCGTGAGCAAGATATTCCCAAGACTGAATTTATCTGCCACCAGGGTACTTACAAGTTTACTAGGATGCCCTTTGGTGTTGCAGGTACAAACCTTCTAATTTGGTAGACACTGTTTTCGGCAGTGTAAATCACAGATTTGCAATGGCATTTGTCAACGATGTCTTAGTTTATTCAGACACCCTTGATGACCTCGTGGAACACATTTAATATGTATTAGAGCGCATCCGAAGAGCAGGCCTCGTCATTAATCCAGACAAGATTCAACTCTGCCACGATTCCCTCAAGTTCCTTGGACATGTCATTTCATCTGGGCAGTGTAGACCTGATCAGGGCAAGGTGAAGCAATACTTTTTTGCAAACTAGTTGGTTCATACTTGAAAAATTGATTTGCTGCACAAACTTGAAGGAAAGCAAGGGAGACAGGAAAGAGTGCAGAGAGCGCAGGAAACTGTGCTCTTTCCTGTCTCCCTTGTTTTCCTTCAAGTTTGTGCGGCAAATCAATTTTTCGGAGCAAGGTGCTTGCTGTAATCGGAAAAAAAAGAACAGTGAAAAACCACACAAAGACAGCGAATAACAACTACACAGAACAAGCTCTGGACTTACAACCGAATGTTTATTCAAGAATTGTACACACCACCCCCAACTTATGAAACAACAGTGCATGTGTAAAACAGGACCATCTGAGCCATGTCAACCTTGGCACCTAACTGTTCATGTCATGAAAGGTGTGACGCAATGATAAAATTTGTAGAGGGACTTTCCATCTGCTCGTTGAAAGTCGACACAGAAAAAAAGACAGGTTAACAATCGCACATGTGTTGCGTGCGAACCCACCTCGTGTCGAACTTATCACCTCGTGTCGAACACATCACCTCGTGTCGAACACATCACCTCGTGTCGAACACATCACCTCGTGTCGAACACATCACCTCGTGTCGAACACATCACCTCGTGTCGAACATATCAAACCTCGTGTCCCTCGTGTCGAACATATCAAACCTCGTTTGCACCTCGTGTCGAACATATCAAACGCGGCCTGCTGTGGAGAGTTTTCTCCACCTGTTGCACAGGAAGTAACACGGTTCTAGGCTCCTCACTCGGGTGTCGAGCATTCTCACCCACCGCTCGCCGCCTGGAGGGGAACTGGCTGTAATCCTCGTGCTCTTCGCATGACATGT